TCTCCAGGGATACAGCAATGCTCTGGGACTAGGTGGTGCCAAGATCAGCCCCACGAAAGGCATGTGTCTGAACTCGGGTCCTGTGTCTCTTATGTTTTTAATTGTCCTCTAGACTTTTGCCAAATAGGAGTGCTTCAATGCTATCTGTACTCTCTTAGCATCTTATTTCTGTGGCCTCTCTTCATTTTGTCCCATGAAACTATGTACAGTGGCATTTTTTGCATCCAGTTTCTTACAGGGACACTGAGACACATGTCTTACAGTAGCCATTGTAGCCACACACAGAAGTATTACTTCCTCAGACAATAAAGCAACCCCGAAAACCAGGAGTGCTGTGACTATACTCATTGCCACAAGCCCTGCCAACAAATGGCAAAAAGCAGAATGGATAAAGCAAACTCAAAGAGAACCTTCCAGAGCAGCAGACTTGGTTACTGTCCAGCTTCCCTCCAGCTGCAGGAGCAGAGGCTGGTGCCAGAGTCCTCCCCCATCCCAGCTGGCTCCACTGTGGCTATCCCCTAAGAAGTCCTCGTGCCGTCTCCTACCTAAGGCCCTTATTTAGAATCTCCCATTTTTCATTTTTCCCCAGCAATGTGTTGGATCTTTCAGAATGAAAAAAGTGAGATTGAATCCAGAGTTCTGTCTCTCTGAAGTCTGAGCTACCTTACAGAAAAAGTGAAAATCCGCCTAAAGCCTACAATGTTCTACAATACTGAATTCTCTTTCAACACAAGTGGAGATAGACTGTTTGGGGGTCACACTCAGCAGTGCTCAGGGCTTACTCCTGGCTTTGTGCTCTGGGATAACTCCCACTGTACTCTGGCACTAGCCCCTGGAGGGAGCAGTTTTATTTTTATCTAAAAAATGTTTTTGCTTTTCATGGAACACCTTTTGCTGTAATCAGGGCATCCTCCTGGTCCTGTGTTCATGGGTAACTCCAAGCAGTGCTCAGGGGACCTTATGGTTGAACCTAAGGCTGGCCATTTAAGCGTAAGTGTCATACTCACTGTATCATCTCTCTGGCCTCGAATGGAGGTAAATGATCTCCAAATAGTACTTTTTACGTTGTGGTTCTTAAAAATACTCTGTCATTGACTGAGACTGAGACACAGGCAACAGTGGAAAGGAACCACCATAGGAAGCTATGAGATCCAGCCCCATGTCTGAGAGCTCTTGGAGCACAAAGTGGATTTCAACAGCACAGACGCAGAAGTGTTTGCACTGTTGACTGGGAGTCAAACAGCCACAGTGGCTCTGATGATGGAGGCTCACAGGGGGGCAGTCATCACCAGATGCAGGAAGAAGTGGGTTCGCATGGTTCAGAGGCAGTATCAGAAAGTTGAGGAGTAAGCCCAGAGGTGAAGACCAGGCCACCTCCATTCTCCTGTCAGAGGGATGCATAAGAAGATATCCAGAGTAGCCCATACAAGGCACCACTGGCTGGTCCCACATCCTTATCTGGAGACCACAGAGTCCCTACTGTGTCTCTCCACTGCTGGGAACCAAAGAATCCCTCCTGCGGCACTTCACTGTTGGGACCACAGAGTCCCTAATGTATCATGATGGGACCCAGACTACCATATCCTTCACTCCAAGTTCTGGGTTGCTTTCATGCCCACTCTGTGAGGCACCCATGTTCCCAAGCAGATGGAGATATAAATGTATCTGTCACTCTGTCACTCTGTCACTGTCCTCCCGTTGTTCATCAATTTTCTCTAGCGGTCCCAATAACATTTCCATTGTGGGACTTGTTACTGTGTTTGGCATACTGAATATATCACGGGTAGCTTGCCAGGCTTTGCTGTGGGGACGAGATACTCTCGCTAACTTGTTGGGCTCTCCAAGAGAGGCGGAGGAATCGAACTCGGGTCAGCCATGTTGGCTGCATGCAAGGAAAATGCCCTACCCGCTGTGCTATTGCTCTAGCCCAAATATATCTAGCAAGGCCATTTTTAAAGTCATGTGTAAGATATTTCATCAAAACAGGAGATTAGTGTGCAAAAAGACACAAAAAGCAATGAAACAGAATTGAGAGTCCATACATAAATGCATACATGCACAGAAAACTGGTAACCAAGGACTCAAGTCCTTACAATGGAATAAGTCAAGTATCTTCAATGGTGATGGAAAAATTGGACAGCCATCTGTCAGAGAATAAAAACAGGCATTAACTAACATCATACATGAAATCAATTCAGAATGGATTAAAGACTAATATGCATGACCTGGGAAACCATAAATACATGTGACAGAAGAAAACACAGATGATGGGTTCCTGGACATCAGCCGTGGCAACACATTTGAAAACTCAACTCCAATGGAGCAACTAAAACAAAAGCAAAATAAACAAATAGGATTATATCAAACTAAAAAGCTTCTTCGCAGCAAGGAAACTTGCATGAAAACGAAACTCTATCCTACTCAGGGGGAGAAGATATCTGACAACATAGATCTGACATGGAATTCATATTCAAAATATGCAAAGAACATTAAAATCAATCTTAAAAGTCCAATTTAAAAATACACAGAGGATGTGAATTGACACTTCCCCAAAGAAGATACACTGATGGCCAAAGGGCATGTGAACAGGTGTTCATTGTCTATTGTTATGAGTGAAGTGCATATCAATACAACAATGAGATAGCATCACACACCCTAGAATGGCTCCAATTCAAAAAGATAAGAAACTGGTACTGGAGAGGGAGCAGAGTAGAATCTTTTGTATACTGTAGGTGGAAATGTATACAAAGCTGCTAGGGAATTTCTCTAAAAAATTAAAAACAGGAATTTCATATGATGCTGCCAGACCACTTCTAGGTATTTATCCTCAAAAATACACAAACACTAAATCAAAGAGGTGACACACCCTCATATTTAGGCCCTCCCATTGTTCATCAATTTGCTCGAGCGGGCCCAGTAACGTCTCCATTGGAGACTTTGTTGTTACTGTGTTTGGCATATCGAATACGTCACGGGGAGCTTGCCAGGCTCTGCCGTGAGGGCGAGATACTCTCGGTAGCTTGCCGGGCTCTCCGAGGGTGGGGGGGCCTTCATATTTACTGCAGCATTATTTATAAGAGTCAATTACTATGCTTTGATTTATGAATGACTGATGATAGGGTAATTCACAAACAATGAAATACTTCTACTATTCAGCTATTAATAACGAAGGAAGAAATTCTGCCATTTACAACCACAAGGACGAATGAAGAGATATTTGTGAAAAAAAAAATCCAAGGGGACTGGAAGGCTTTACTCATGTGGGAAAAAAAAGATAAACTAAATAAAAAATAAATTTTTGACCTTTAAAACCAATTAGTGGTTACTAACACATTTGAAAACTCAACTCCAATGGAGCAACTAAAACAAAAGCAAAATAAACAAATAGGATTATATCAAAGTAAAAAGCTTCTTCGCAGCAGATTCCTTGTCAGATATCTATGTTGTCAGATATCTTCACCTCAAAGGAGGTGAGTAAATTGGAACAAAGGGGATTATTGTCTGGTGAAGGATAGAAGTAGGCCTTTCCATGATGAATTTAACATAGAATAGACACATGTTAGTATCAGACAAATACTCAAGGAAGTAGAAACAAGGGCCATGGTTGAAAGCTTACCACAGTGCTGGTGGGGTACAGTGTTAACATAGAGAATCGACCACTATGACAAAGATAGTTGAAAATGATCATTCCGGATAAGAAGTGAATGCTGAAGGGAGGTAAAGGGACATACATGATAACCTTTCAATACCTGTATTGCAAATCACAAGCCCAAAAGGAGAGAGCAAGAGAGTGACAGAGAGTGTGTGAGAAAGAAAGGAGGAAAGAAAGAAAGAAAGAAAGAAAGAAAGAAAGAAAGAAAGAAAGAAAGAAGGAAAGAAGGAAAGCGAGCAAGAAGGAGAGAAAGAAGTACCTGCCATAGAGGCAGACTGGGGATGGGGGTGGGAGGGAAACTGTGGACACTAGTGAAAGGATGGGCTGTGTATTTCACAATTATTCAGTTAAAAAAAAATACGATAGACACACATTGACTTGCAGCGATGCATATTTAAAGCTAATACATTACACTTTGGGGGGATGGGAGGCGGGGGAGGGGGGGGTTTGAGCTCCATCTAGTGATGCTCAGGGGTGATTCCTGACTCTGCACTCAGAAATCGTGGTGGTTCTTATGAGACCACAGGAGATGCTGAGGATTGACCCAGGTAGGCAGCATATAAGGCAAATGCCCTACCCATGGTACTATTGCTCTGGCAAAATATATTATTGTCCCTATATTACAACTTGAAAAAAAAAAAACCAAAAACCCTTTCAATGAAAGGATAAAGCTAAACATATGTTAATTTCTTTCTTTTTTAAAATTTTTTGGGGTTTTTTTGTGGTTTTTTTTTTTTTGGTTTGTTTTGGGGACCTCACCCAGCAGTGTTCAGGGCTACTCCTGGCTCTGTGCTCAGGGATTGCTTCTGTAGTGCTGAGGGAACATTGGGGTGCCAGGGTTGAACCTGGGTTGCCCATGTGCAAGGCAAGTGTCCTACCCACCGTACTGACTCTCCGGCTCCATAATTTCTTACTTATATATAAGATAAGTTTCTATAAGCCAAGTTTAAGGTTACTCACTGCTTATTCCTCAAGCTCTTGAGTTATGTTCAAGATACAAATTTACTCAAAATACCTTTTCCCTAAAATTTTATAGCACAGGTGGGAGGAGATCTGAGACTGGGAAAATGGGACAGAGCAGACAAAACCAGTGTGTGGTACTGGCACAGAGGGGTAAGCCACTGAGCAATCTAGCACCAGTACCACAGTTGTTCCGGAAGAATCTCTGGAGGATGTAGTGAATTGCTATGTGACAGTTGCCACTTCTGTGTCTGATTCCTTTTGCCTCTTGACTCCACCTGAGAGAAAGTGTGAGCTGTCTCCTGGAGTGGAGTCAGGAGCACTGTGTGACCTGATCTCCCACAGGCCTGGTATCCCGGGAGCCACAGAGGTGGGGAGTAGCACTCACCTCCACAAGTCTCCAGGCTTCGGCAATGACTGAGTACTGCAGGCGATTCAGGGCAAAGCCATCTACTTCCTTCAAGACTCGCACTGGGGACTGGCCGATCTTCTGCATCAGGGCATAGGTCCTGTCCACCGTCTCAGGGGCAGTCTCTGGGTGAGGGACCAGCTCAACCAACGGCACCCAATAGGGCGGATTAACCTGGCAATGGACAGAAGGACATCACCATGTCAGCTGGGTGAAGGTGGCTTTGCAGACCCCCTCGGGAAGGGCCCTTTGGAGTCAGACCCCAGTGAGTACACATGTGAGAGATAACTCATTTATATGTCATTCATCTAGAGAAAAGGCCTGCTAACATCTGAAGCTGATGGCAGGAGGCACAGTCACATCTTCTGAGCCCTCAGCTGTAGCTCTGCACCCGCACACTGGGACTTCTCTGCAGTCCCCTGCCCTGATCCGCAGACCCCGTTGCACTGTGCTCTGCCTGCAGGTGCTGACTCCGCTCAGCATCTTCCCACACTTGGCATTTCCTGGTCTCCTGCGGTTCTCAGCTGCCCACTGCCCCATGGGCCTTACCCGGAACCACACAGCATCAGTGTGTGAGGGTCTGGGACTGATGGGTCTGCTGCATTACACAGTGGGTATCAGTGTTTGCTGTGCTCAGCATTTCAGCTTTCGGCTGAAGTGGGTTGGAGTGAGTCTGAGAAACCATTCTTGAAGAATCCCCTGGAAAAGTATCCAGTGTCCAGGAAAATGCTGCTGAATGCAGCCTCATGAGCTCAGGAATAGGCCAAATGCCGTGTGGTCAGCTGGTCCCCAAATGATGCTTTTAAATAGTTTCTCCTCCATATAAGGGTGAAGATTGGTTGAATTTCACCTTTGCTACATATCCGCATACATCTAGGCCAACAGATTCACCAATGTATCTGCATATATCTAAGAAACATATCCACCATTACTGCAAGCATGGGGCCCACACCACACTAATTAAATTAAAAATGTGTTTGTCAAGGTTGGGGTGGGTGGGAGGGTTCAAATAGAGTCTGAGGTCATTGGTGGACAGACAGGGTCACAGGGCACTGGGACTGGAGGTGGGAACACTGCATACCTGAAACCATATTGTATTGTGAACAACTTTGGAAATCATGGTATCTAAATAAAAAAAAAATTTTAAAAAGAACTGTTATCAATCTGAATAGAAAAAAAATCCTAGTGTTACCTTGAAATCAAGGAGTGAATAATGGCGATTTGTAACACATGGAGGACCCCAACTACAGTGTGCATTAGAAAATAAATTAATAAGTAATTCTTAAATAAAAAACTAAGTGAACAACAATAATATGCATCAAGTGAATCACTTTTCACCTGTCGAGAATCACTGTATTCTTGGAAGAATGTTTAGCCCCCGACTTATAAATGTTAGAATGACAGAACCAGGAGACAGTCAGTCTCAGGTTAAGTTTATCTTACTCTAAAGCAGAGATGTTGGGATGATGTAAGTACAGAACCATCATCAACAAGGTTGATGCAAATAACAATGATCACTTTTTAAAAATAAAGCAGAGACGTTGGGTTGAGGCTGGGGGTGTCTCCAAGGTTAGGCTGGGGGTAGAGGGGTCTTGCAATGTCTCAGGCAGGAATCACAAAACCACAGCTGAGACTGAGAGGAAGTATTTCTACAAACCATTTGTCAGGCCTCCTGGCTCCATCTTCCTCAGCTCTCCCCCCTCCCCCCACACAGGCTCCTGTGAGTCTAAGTGCCACATTCCTGCCCCCTCTGTGCCACTCCAGGGGAACTACCCCAGACTCACAGCACCTGCCTCTGCTCACAGCCCAGCATTTAGTTGTTTATTTTTTAGTTCTTAGTTTGGCTTTGGGGCCATACCCAGTTGTGCTCAGAGCTTCTACTGGCTCTGTGCTCAGGGATCATTCCTGAAGGGGCTCAGTGAAACACATGAGGTGCTGGGGATTGAACCCAGGTCAGGTACAGGCAAGGCAGGTGCCCTACCTACTGTGCTGTCACTCTCACCCTTGGCCCAGGTTTTAACATACACCTGACACCTCCCCTTGGCTCCCCCATAAACTGAGAGTAAGCCCCAGCACGACTTCCCGAGGGGCTCAGGGCTAACTGCCCCCAGAGTGCCATGGGTGCAGTGCTCAGGGACTGTATAATTACCTTCAGATCACGGAAGGACATAGACAACAACATAGCACCCTCAGGGTCACATCGTGGAGAGGGACCTAGCGCCTTCCTGAACTTGGGGGCACAGGGGAAAACTACAGCAGGCCTGCAAGGACAGATGTGGAGCAGCTGCATGGAGGGACGGAGGGACGCACAGGGTGCAGGCAGAGCCACAGATGCCCAGTGACAAGGAGGTGAAGGACTTCAGGGTTAGGAAGAACGCAGCCCAGGCACCTCGCAAAGGTCAGTCCAGGCTTAGCTCCAAGGTGACCTGTAAGCCCGGCTAGAGCTGAGGATTGAGGAACTGGTGCCACTCAGGACATTCGTCCCTCTGTCATGCACACAGGAAAGCCCTCAAAGACAGGAGAGCTGAAGAGGTGCCACATTGGTGTCCTCAGTCCAGCACATCCTCAAGTGAAAAATAAAGGGAGAAGCATTGGTGCAATGCGGCTGAAAATACCAGCAGAAAGCAGTGCTGCTTCGGGATGATATCACTCATACGTAGTATTTAGAACAACTGGATGGGATAAAGGAATGTTTTAAAGGAGGGTTGCTCTGATCAACTTGGCCCCAGAGTATAGGGAGCAGAAGGACAGAAAGAGTGGAGGGAGTGGGAGAAGGGACAGATGAGAAGCAACAGGGGCCAGGACAGAGGAGCCAGGGACAAAGGTGTTGTTAAGGAATGAGAGAGTCAAAATTCACACCAGAGTCAACAACACTAAAATCAAAAGACCCAAACTTTAAAAACCAAACTTAGGAAGGTGCTTGTCTACAGGGCAGGCTGGAGAGAATATAAGCAGTAACCTGGGAACATTCAGGGAACACTGGTGGAGGGAAGTTGACACTGATGGTGGAATGGTGCTGCAATATTGTATATCTAAAACACAACTAAAAATCAACTTTGTAAATCACAGCACTTTAATAAAAATTAAAAAGGTGGAGAAAGCAAGCAAGCAAGAAAATAAGCAGTGTTGCTTTCATTAATTGCTGCCACAGATCCTAACAGTGAATCTCCCCAGTCTCAGCTGTAGTCAGTCATCGTCCTTAAGTCCCTGCCCCCAGAGAAAGGGAGACAGTACAAACACCCCAGTGGAGGGACTCGACAGCTGGAGATCTGGTGGGTGAATGCTCCTTTTCCAGGAATCTGAGGACTTCGCAGGCTTTCATTCTTAAAAATCACTCTGCAACCCTCTCTGAATCCCTGCCACAGACAGCACATGTCCCTTTTAGTGCCAGAGCTGGAATTCACCAATGTCCAATCCCCACACCATGGCTGGTGTGAAATCCTGGAAGGAGACACTCCTTTTGCAACTGCTGATAATGTGTGCATCTAAGTCTTTCAAAGGCGGGAAAGCTATGGTTCCCTTTAGCCTCTTTCCTGTTCGGCAAAGAAGCACCTTGATGACAGCACAGAAGGAGGGATGCAGCATGTGGGCCGTTCCAAGTGTGTGCTGTGACCTGATGGCTTCAGGGGACCCACGCGGGGCTTACAAACAGTTGTAGGATTCTTAGAGACTACCTGTCTGGTTCAGGAGACTAGCTCTTTCCATCCATGCCCTTGGAGAGTAGGCAAAGGACTCAGAGTGGACTGGCGAGCAAACACACAATGAGAATGTGAACTGGGCCTCATGTGGGGTCTAGAGGTCTCACTCAACCAAACAGACCCCACTGTGAACTGTATTCCCTATATTTCACAGCACAAGAAGGAAGCACTTCTTCCCCAAGGAAACTGTTTTCTAGTCTGTTTAAAATTGAAAGAAGTGCTCATGTGATCCTGTTGTGTGCAGCTACAATCCAAGAACTTCTGGATAAAATTATTTTTTTAAAATGCTGCTACTGACCAGTGGAGAGCCAGCTCAAAGGGCTGAGTCCAAAGATTCCATCCTGGTACCACATGGTCTCCTGCGTACCACTGGGAGTGATGTCCAAATATCCCTGAATATGGGGGTTCCCCCTCCCCATCCCACCCAATTCTCGATGTACAGCTCTCTGAGTGAACTAAAAAGCACTGAATTGGGCAGTTCACATTGTTGAGCTTAACTCCACAAAGCATCCTAGATTAGTCAAGGTACAGCTGACATGAACTGGATGTGCTGACGGGCACTGCTTATGAAAGAAGAATCAGAAACAACCCATTTCCCAGGTTCCACATACTCACAGGGTGAGCCACAAGACATTGCTTCACATGCACCAAGTCAGAAAATAACTTGGAGGGTAGGAGACAGGAGCTGGAGCTGCTTATGACGACTCTGTCATCTACAATCCGATCCAACTGCGCAAAGATCTTCTTCTTCAGCTCCAGATTTTCAGGAACACATTCCTGAGAAGGACACACACACAAACACACACAAATTAATACTTGTGACTTCTGCACTCAAGCCCAATTTATTTTGAAAACGGACTGATTATAATACATGTTAAACAAAAGGTTACCCCAAATATGTGATACCTAGGTAACCAGGCGGTGCATATACAGGAGCTGTATTTTCTAGTTTTATGCCAGCAAACTCACAAAGCCCACCTTCCTGCCTTACAGCAGGGTGGACTCTATGATTGGGACACTTGAGGTCAAGTGCCACAGTACTAAAACACCTTCAGCTGTGGCACCACTTCCACGCCTTCCTCTGACCACATCAACTTCAAGGAAAACTCATGTGAAAAGAACAAGTAAGTTACCACCATAATTCCTAAGATAGTTCTTGAAGGTTCATTTCTAATTGTAAATCCCTTTGAAAAAGATTCATGTTTTGGGGCTGAAGGGATAGTACAATTGAAAGGGCTCTTGTCTTGTATGCGTCCAGTCTGGGCTCAGTCCCCAGCACTATGTGTGGTCTCCCAAAACTAGTCAGGAATAATCGCTAAACAAAGAACCAAGATTAAGCCCTGAGCACCTCAGGGTATGGCCCCAAAACCAAACAAACAAAAAAAGGACTGGTATTTCTAAATCATTTAAAAATTTAATTAAGGGCCAAAGCAACAGTATAAATGACTAGGGTATTTGCCTTGCACATGGCTGACCCAAGTTTGATCCCCAATACCCCATACGGTCCCCCAGAGCACCACCAGGGGTGATCTCGAGTGCAGCCAGGTGTGGTTCAGCTCCCAACCGACAAAAAAAGAAAGCAAAATAAAATAATTTCATAGGGGTGAGAGAGGGGGATTGGAAAGTGGATCTGCTGAAACACTGCCCAAAATTGCAAATATATCCACAGAAACAGGGAGTGAGGTGACACTCTCAGACACCTCAGCTGGCCCATGGATAAGGCACTAGGGAAGACACACTGGACACTACACTGCTAGAGAGAAACATGGAACAGATGGAGACTGAGGTACCCCAGTGCTAGAAATGCAAGGGGAGTCCTTCCGCTTCCGCCATCAAATCTGCAACAAGTCACTCCTGTTTGGGAGTCCTGGAAGATTTAGGGGCAGCAGGTAACGTTAAACTCCCAGCATTCCCTGGTGGACCCACAACATGACACTCTCGACAGCCCAGGAACCATTAGCATCAAGATTGCTTGTTAAAAGAGCAAATTCCCAGGCCCTCAACCCAAACCTACAGTCTTGCTCAGTTCAAAATTCTTCAAGTGCCAGGTATCTGTCTAATCATCACGCATTCTGATGACACTCGCCCCTCCTGAAGTTTAAGGCCCACTGTTCTGAAGCATAATCAAAGTGTGGGTCATACCAAGCACATTCCCGGGTCTTCTCACCCTAAGTACAGGCTCCTTCCTTTTCCTTCCCACAGCAACTGCTCAGATACAAACCGAGACTGCTCTGTTCCGTCTATTAGCCCCAAAGTGGCAAAGACTGTATAGACACCAGCAGATAACCAAAAGTGTGTGGGCAGAGTGGAAGCACAGTGTTGAAGGAAATATCGTACAAATTAATTTAAAATTATCAAATGATTATAATTTCTGACACTGCAATCTGTTGTATAAACATAACACGAATTCCCCTTCCGTGTCATCTACAAGATTTTCCTTTTTCTCAAAGCATAGGGAATCAGTGTTGTTTCTTCATAACTTTAAAAAATATAATCAAGTCATGTGAAATCTTATGAAAAACAAAAGGTCATATAAGCATCACATCTCAAAGACGGGGGTGGGGAGTGGCTGTGTGGGGGAGAAATGGTGTCATTGAAGAACTGTAAAGTCCATTGTGTTACATCCCCTTATCAGTGAGGTAAAAGAGCTACAGTTGCAGGCTTGGCTGTATTGAGTAATTCCTGGATCAGTTAAGTCTACAAGGTGGGTTAAGTTTAACTGGAGCCTTGTAGTAAAGCCAGAGACCAGAATGATGCAGATACTATTTAAGCTAATAAAAGAGTCCTGTGAATAGTCTCATTGTGAGTCTGTCATGCAGATTCTCCCCTGAAATTCTACGCCATGCTTCAGATCCATCTGATTATTGAAGTGGCAAGAAAACTCAAACCAGAGGAAACCCAAGACTGACACAAATATGTAAAGTTTTTTTCTAATGGCACACTTGCTTGGTATTTTGTTATTGTTGTTGTTGTTGGTGGTGGTGGTGGTGGTGTAGAAATCCATCTGTACTTAATTTGAAGGCTAGGGTTAGAATACCCCTTCATGTGTAGCCCTGAGCTAATTTAAAATCGTTTGGGAGTTGATACCTTTAGTCTGAAACACTCTTTATCGGGACCTTCATCACTTGGGGTTGATTACAAAGCTAAGAGACTACAATCACTCTCTTTGCTCTAAAGGGGTTAGGAGGAAAAGCAGGGATGAATGCCAGCCACAGCGCCAGCCGAGAAGCCTGCCACAGAGCTCTCCACCTATCCCGAGCACAGCAACATGAGCAGGTGAGAAACTACCCAAATTCTTTCAACGCGTCTTTCATCAGTTCTTTCTAGAGAGTCACGGAGCATGAAGAAACCAGAAAAATGCTTACAACATTGTGTGCTGAAACTCGGTATTTTCAAAGCAGCGCCTACTGTTTGCCGTTAGTACTAAAGCAGTGTCTACTGTTTGCTGTTAGTACCTGGCATCTTTTGCGGTAGGAGGGAGATGCAACACATGAACAGCACTTCTGCAGGTGCCACAGACAGCCATGTCAGTACACTGGCTCAGGGCAAGCAAAATAAAACTTTGGGACACGTAAGGCACAAAGTAACACCCCAACTGCCACAACTATTACTGGTTCACTCATTTTGGGCGGTACCAAAGAGATTAAAACAAGTTTGATTTTTATTGAGGGGACAGAACACACCCAGCAGTGCTCAGGGCTTATTCCTGACTCTGTGCTCAGGGGTTACTCCTGACAATGCTCAGGGGACTATTTGGGATGCCAGGGATCGAACCCTAGTCAGCCTTGTGCAAGGTAATGCCCTCCCCCTGTACTATCACTCCCACCCCTAAAAATAAGTTTAAACTTCAATTTCCTTTTCTAAAGGAAAACAGAATAGTGGTATTATAGGAACTGTGAATTATAATTTTCTTTTTTAAAAAATTGGTTATTTACAAGCTTTGTATTTAGTAAAAGGCACATGTTGACATTCAATTCATGGGGACTAAATAAGAAAACTTTAGTATATTGGTACATCCCCAGCAAGGGCAGCTCCAGCCAGTTAAGCAGCAACAGTTTCCCACAAAAGGACTTTCATGGGAAAAGCAACACTTTTTTTTTTTGCTTTTTGTTAACCCGGTGATAACAGGGGTTACTTCTGGCTCTGCACTCAGGAGTTACTCCTGGCGGTGCTCAGGGAACCATATGGAATGCTGGGAATTGAACCCGGGTTGACCGCATGCAAGGCAAATGCCCTACCCACTGTGCTATCTCTCCAGCCCCAGCAACACATTTTATTTTTTTTAAAAAATCAATTTATTTTTAATATTAGGGGTGGGGGAGTCCCCAGATTCTTGACCTGGTTGTGCAAACCTTCAGACTGGGTGCTGCTGGGGCTCGCTGGTGCTGTGGTGCCAGGCCCTACCTGGCTCAGGCCACCGTCTGGCACCAAGGATCAAATCCAAGGCACATGCTCCAGACTCTGAGTCATTTCCTGGCCCTTAAGCATTTCAGATAGGCCTTTTATTGTACAAAATCAACATTTTTTTTTAAATTTTATTGAATCACCGTGAGACAGTTATAAGCTTTCATGTTCAGGTTACATGAATGATCAAACACCCATCCTTCCACCAGTGCACATTCCCCACTACCAATATCCCCGGCATCTCCCCCTCCGTCCCACCCTCCCCCTGCCTCCATGGCAGACAATATTCCCCATAGTCTCTCTCTACTTTTGGGCATTATGGTTTGAAGCCTGACTCATGAGCAAAGGGGAGAAGGCAGCTGGAATAGAGTAGGGATCACTAAGAAAATGATCGCTTGAGAAACCAGTTGGGATGGAATATGTGTGCAGAAAGTAGATAAAGGACCCAAATCAACCTTTGTGAGCATAAAATATCATGAAATGATCTCTGATTTGCTTTCCTGAAGGCAAATAAATAAATAAATAAATTAGAAGTCTTCAGCAGTGAAGATATTTTATTAGCCCATTTTTGGGTGGGGTGCCAACACACAGAAAGAAAGATGAGTCAAAATTCTATTGCAATAACAATGAAGGAAATTCACTCACAACTTGAAAATCCAAGTAATATACCTGATCATTATCAGTTGCTCGCAACTCTCTTGTTCTTCTGCTTCCATCTGTCTGATAAATATCACTAGTTTCTCTTCACAATTAATCCTAATGATCAAGACTCACAGGCCGCTCTGGTTACAGTGCTCACAAAGGGAAATTTTAAATACAACAATAAAATATAACCCATTTCCTTGCTTGAGGAAAAAAGCAGTATAATCTATGGTAAGAAAAAAGAAGGGGAGATAGTACAACAGGTAAGGCACTTGCCTCGGACCTGGTCAACCCAGGTTCAATCCCTGGTACACACATTGTCCCCAGGGAGCTCTGCTAGGAGTCATCCCTGAATGCAAAACCGGGAATAAGTCCTGAGCATCACTGGGTACACAGCTGGGTGTGGAGGAGGGAGGGAAGGATGGAAGGAAGGAAGGGAGGGAGGGAGGGAGGGAGGGAGGGAGGGAGGGAGGGAAGGGGAGAGGGAGGGAGGAAGGAAGGAAGAAAGGAAGGAAGGAATGAACAAATGAGTGAACAAATGAACAAACGAAGGAAGAAGACGGCTAAAAGAACAAAGCATCTGTTTGCATGCAGGAGCCCGAATTTTGATCCCTGACACTGCCTGGTGATCAATGCTGCTGCCCTGACCCCCAAGGAGTGACCAAGAGTGACCAAGAGCGATCCCTGAGTACCGCCCATTTTATATCAAAAGCTGTAAGATGCACTATGTC